CTGTCTGGTTTGGCTCAGCAACCAAACAGGACAAGTACAGACTTCAGCGGACAGTCAGGACTGCAGAAAAGGTCATTGGTGTGAACCTGCCCTCCATGGAGGACCTGTACACCTCACGGGTCAAAAGGAGGGCGGAGAGGATCACTGCAGACCCCTCACACCCTGGAAACAATCTGTTTGAACTCCTCCCCTCTGGATGGCGTTACAGGTCACTGTGCACCAAGACAACCAGGCACAGGGACAGTTTCTTCCCCCGGACTGTCACTCTAATGAACACTTAACCCATGACAGTATGATTAGACAATAATCCTCAGTGCAATACCTGTGTACATACATTGTACAGATTATACAGAGTCACAGAGGTCTCTAGCTTTAAGTACCCTGTTTTTATTCCTATTTATCTAATTTCAATGAACATTCGTTTGCTGTCTGCATCGTCTACTGTCTGTTTATACTGCTTTTTCTGCATTGTTTGCACTGTTTGTTGTTACTACTGCTATTTTGTTATATTACATAGCCTTATGCTGGTTTACTGTTTTGCACATTGAGAACCGATGTACCTGAGTGAAATTCCTCGTGTGTCCGATACACATGGCCAATAAAGCTGATTCTGATTCTGAATATACACCAGACGTCAGAGCAAAAACTTCAACTTCGTAGCAAAGTATTTCTTTCTGCCAAGCACTGTCTGCTTCCACACACATTATATGTAACAGGCTTTGTGGGGACATTTCACACATAATATTACAGTTCCTTGTGAGGACCAGTTCTGAGGTTTGCACAAACAGTTTCTAATGAGACACAGACACAAACTGAAAGTGTGTTGTGGGGACGTCGTCACTGTCCAAACTAATGTAAGAATTAATAAAGAAAGAAATTCTGGTGAAAGTTAAAATCTGCACCAAATATTCCACTACCAATAACCTTCTAGATGAATTACATTAAACTGCTGGGTGTACTAATTCAGACTACTCCTGCCCTGCTAAGATCTGTCTGTATTCACACATCTAGAATGAAACAAGCTTTGTGGGGGCATTTCACACACAATTTTACAGTTCCTTGTGAGGATCACTTTTGACAATTGATCCACAAAAGGTTTCTAATTAGACACAGACTGAAAGTGTGTTGTGGGATTTCCTGAGTGTCCAATATAGAGTAATAATTATAAACATTCCTCTGAAAGTTAAAATGGCCATGGAGAGTGACTATTGGTCGGCCTCGAAGAAATTCTGGCAAACTGTCCGGCATCTCAGGAGGGGCAAGCAGTGCCCTGCCAAAACTGTTTACAGTGGAGGTGGAGCTGTTGACCTTAACTGGGGACATTGTCGGACGGTGGAAGGAATACTTCGAGGAACTCCTCAACCCCGGTGCCATGTCTTCCGATGAGGAAGCAGAGGCCAGGGGCTCGGAGGTGGACTCGTACATCACGCAAGCTGAAGTCACTGAGGTAGTTAAGAAGCTTCTTGGTGGCAAGGCACCGAGGGTGGATGAGATACGCCCGAATTCCCTTTAAGTCTCTGGATGTTGTGGGGCTGTCTTTGTTGACACGCCTCTGCAACATCGCATGGCGGTTGGGGACAGTGCCTCTGGACTGGCAGACCGGGGTGGTGGTCCCTCTTTTTAAGAAGGGGGACCGGAGGGTGTGTTCCAACTATAGGGGGATCACACTCCTCAGCCTCCCCGGGAAAGTCTATGCCAGGGTACTGGAGAGGAGAATTCGACCGATAGTCGAACCTCGGATTCAGGAGGAACAATGCAGTTTTCGTCCTGGCCATGGAACACTGGACCAGCTCTATACCCTCTTCAGGGTGGCGGAGGGTTCATGGGAGTTTGCCCAA